GGATATTAGAGTTATGGGCGTGTATGGCGCCCCGAAGTTTGGGTTAACTGCCCTGCTCAGACCCTGCACACTGTGTGCTGAAATTTCTTTAAATTAGAGAAATTGATTATATTAGGGAATATAACACTGTAATGTTCCCTAGTATAATCTATTTCTCTATCCCAGTCTTGGATAATATTTTCCATTTACTGTGACACATTCAGGGGTGCCGAATTTGTATCACCCGACGCCCGGGACATGCAGTTCCAGACACCATGCAGGTGGTTTCTTCTCCCGGTTCAGCTCAGCTGTGGGCAGGCAGCCGGGTTAAAGTTTTTTTTTACATTTCTTTACTGACTTGAGCAGCGAGGAACGGAGCATCAGGCAATTGCCGACAACCCTCAGATGTCCCCCACATACTGTTTATTTAATAGAAAAAAAGGCATCAAAATCAGGATTTATTTTTTTTGGGGGGGGGGGCTTAATTCATATATAGCAATATGAGAGATGCCGTTGCTGGCTTGTTTTTGAAGGTGCATGTTCTGGAGCTGTAATCTTTATCCTTGTGTGACTACTTAGTGAGTCACTGACATTTAACATACATGTAAATGCATTTCAGATGTCCTGACACCTGATACACACCAGCCTGTCTCAAGTGAGAGACTCATGAAGTAGACAACCTCTGAGCATGAACCGAAAACAAGTCAGCAATTGCAGCTCCCATATTTCTTGATAGAGAGAGATTCTATTTGAGCAATATGCAAAGTTCAGAATTCATAGGTACCAATCCCAAGTCATATTTAGTATACAGAAATCTTACAGGTTGATACGGGTATTTTTGTACAATCTTGCAACTTTTTTTACCAATAAATCAGTTTATTGAATTTATTTTATTGATATTTAAAACTTAACACCAGCCTCACCTTTTTACCCATACTTCTCAGTTTACCGAAGACTTGCATCTCCACAGTATAACCCTTTAAAGCTGCAGCACCTATCTTGTGGCCACCTTAATGTCTGTGTGAAAGGCCTCTATCATTTATCAGTTATCTTTTTTCCTGACCTTGGCTCTCATTGCTCCCCCCTCACAGCTATTAGTTTTCTCTGTCATCAATCATTTTGCTCTTAAGCATTATATGAAAGATTGCATGTCTGGCATCCCTTTACATGTAAACACTCAGGCAACCAATCAGCAGAGCACAGCACCCACTGCCCAGCAGGGATGATCAGGCACATCTAAAGGCATTCCTGGGATGTGCTCTTCAATATAATGCTTTTGAAAAAGATCAGAGGCTGTGACATTTACAGAAGACTGCCAACCTCTCTATTCAAAGAGCAGCGGACAGACATGGTGATGATATCACTGGTTCTCAAAAAGTCTGCTTGATTTGCAAGGGGCTCATAGAATCCTGCATGAAGTGCACAAAACTAAATTTTGGTAATTTTCAAGGCTAATAGGCAAGGTATTGTCAAAAAGGGGCATTATGAACTAGACAGTGCCAAGGGAGAAATTTAACAAAACAATAACATTTAAAATTACTGAACTTTGTGAAGAGGGTCCTTTTAATGCGACTTTAATGGCAACATGGAAAAAAACTCTAATCCTTTGAATTACATGTTTGGTATATGTGGTGTTACAAAACAATACAATTTTCATGGACAGTGTCAGCAACACTGTATTCTGGCACCACATATTTTGTATCAGTAACTGTTTTTTTAACTTTTACATTCAGCTTGGCCTAAATAGAGCAGCAGCACCCCCAAAATAAGTTGTTTTAGCTGCGACACCCGTTTTAGTTTTATCCAGTAGTAATAGGCCTGAATTGAACCGTAGATTTAGCAGCCACAACAGATCTAAAAGCAGTGGCGTCACAAGGGGGTACGGGGGGTGTGGCCCGCACTCGGGTGACACCATTGGAGGGGTGACACCAAAATGACTCAGAGTCATTTTGGTGTCAACCCCCTCTGAAAAGTCGGGCGCTTGGTCATGGACCGAACGCCCGACAGTATCACGAGAGAGGAGGGGACCCGGCAGCATACCTTTTCCCGCCGGGTGACTGTCCCCTCCTCTCTCTGACGGCGTCCATCACCAAGATGGCCGCCGGCAGGTATCAGAATACTGCCGCGCGATGACGTCATCGCGCATGCGCAGTGACGTCTCGGCGGGGTGACACTCGGTTACCGCTCTGGGTGTCACCCAGCCTCGGGACGCCCCTGTCTAAAAGCTAAAGGAAAGTTTACTCTTAAAACAAATAATGCCAATTCCAATAAACTTTGTAGAAATTGGCAAATGGTACAACAAATTAATAGTATAGTTTGTGAGCTTCTTTTTTGTAGTGGCACACTGCATTCTCAAAACAGAGTGCAGAATAAACACAACTCCACATTCTCCGAATCCCCTCCCATCCATGTATCCCCAATATTCCCCAAATATTCAATAAATAGACTTCATCTATGTTTTTGGTATACATTGGCTAGCATCAGGAGAGTATGCAGGTGCGTAAATAGGTAGCAAATAGGAGAGGGTGGGTTTTATCTTGCATTAAAAAATAGAGTGTATTATCTAAAAAACAATAACCACAACTATGGTTCAATGGCTGGACAGTATGTAAGCAGCTTGGTTAGGCTGCAATTTAACAGGTAGAGATGATATCTTTGAATAAACATTAGAGTTTATTATTTGAAAGATATTGACTAGGGATGCGTAAAATGGAATTTTGAGACTAAAACCAAAACCAAACATAAAACATTCATCAGGCCGAAAACCGAGAATGACAGGTTTTTTTTCAACCTTTAAAAAATATATATATATATTATTTTTTTATTATTTTATTTTTTACTTTACTGCTGGGTGCTCTGGGGAAATATCAGGGGTCCACTTTTTGGTATGCCTTCCATCAGTATGTGACATAGCTGGGGCCTGGTGATTGGTTGCTTAAGCCTGGAGTACTGCACTGTGGGAAGACAGATGGCACATAGCATGCTTCCCTATACCTAGAGGTATAGGAATTTTTAAAGACCAACAGCAAGGATCTATGAGGTGGGACAGCAGAGTCAATGGTAAATATAGGCACTGGAGGGTGCCTAGCACAGGATGGATGGTTTTTGAGATGTAATTTAAGTTGTCACTTTAATTTTTTCACAAACCATCCATCCCTTGCTAGGCACCCTCCAGTGCCTATATTTACCATTGCCGCTGCTGTCTCACCTCATAGATCCCCGCTGTTTGTTTTGAGAAATCAACTCGTTATGGACGATTTCATGTCCCATGCATTATGTACAATAGACTAATCCTGCAAATACCAAATATTGTCAGCCTGATATTCTCACTCTGCCCTGTTCTTTGTGTCAGACATATTTTAAAAGATTCACTGAGATGAAAGGAAGCTGTGCAGGCAATTAAGAATTCATATGTTGCAGTAACTACTTTTGTGACATATGTTTAAATGGATTTGCCTGTGGGGAAATCTTGAAAGCATTATTTATCATTATGTCTTTTTTAATTTGGATGACATACTCTTACAGAAATATACTAAACTAAGCCCAAGGTAAAATAAGCTGTTGGCTGTGCCCAATGAAAGAGCCCAGCTGCTGAAGGTTCTGTGAAAATGATGTACAGCTTTTTGCCAAAGGAAAGAAAGTAACAAGCATTGCACTTTATAATACATACAAGGCTTGCAGACAGAGTGAGAAAGCATCTACAACCTTGCTCTCCTTTCAGGTTTAAAGTCACCATTACACCCTTGAGACCAAAAACATTCCATAGACTGCAACCTATCAACTAAGCAGATAATACTACTTAGTCCATACCCCTGTTTTTTTCCTCTTCACAACAGTAACTGCCATTGGAAGACAATAGATTTGGGTTGTGAATCTCCACTTTTCCAATGACAGCTACTGTTGTGAAGAGGAAAAAAAACCAGTGGGATGAACTGAGTAGTATTATCTGCTTAATTGATAGGTTGCAGTCTATGGAATGTTGTTGGTCTCAAGGGTGTAATGGTGACTTTAAACCAGAAAGTAGAGCAAGCTTGTAGATGCCTTCTCACTCTGTCTGCAAGCCTTGTATGTGTAGTAAGATCAGCTGTCAAAATTGGTATCTGTGAAACCATAGTAAATTGCTTCTTGGATGAATGCTCAGGTATCATCAAGAGTGCCCTAGGAACCCCAGAACCCAGCTTTCTGAAATGTAAATACTGAATTCAACTAGTAGGTTGGGACTTGGCCCTGCCCTCTTTAAGGCTCACTATTAGGCCCCTTTTACATAGTCATTCCGATTAGGTCCACCTCTCAGTTTTTCAGGCGGACCTGATCAGAAGCCCGATATTAGTGTATGGACAGCCGAATCTAAATGGATATGTGTCTGTTTGCATCCTGTAATGTCTTGTTTGGCCACAATGACCAATAGGAAGCCTCAGGGAGCAAGTAGGGTGAAGCCAAGCTCAGCTTTTACAGAAAAAATCCAAAATCTGCATGTATTATCCACTATTTAGCTGTGAATCTAGTGTTTGTTTTGACACACATTTTTCCCTGTAAGTATCCTCTGCTGCTGCATATTTATGCATACCATATCATATACTCAGTTTAAATTGTTCAGGTTTGTGACAGGTTTAACTCTTTTTGTATTTGTATACTTATTTTCTGACATGATCTATTTTTATGTGTGAAATCATCATGTTCATAGCTTTTGTCATAAAGTTATAGTTCTGTTCCTTCAATATTTCATCAGAGCATTCTATAGGGAAGATTTCTGTCAACTAGGTGATTTCTATACAAAAAGTAACCCAAAAGTATAAGTTATTTAAAATGATGTATTCAAATGTCCCTAATATATAAGACAAACATTAGATAAAAATGGCTCTGAACGTGGTTTAGCTGCCGTTCTCTAGCTCCTGGGATTTTTAACATTGTTGGTTAATACCTGGCTGGTGCGGTATCTGTCCTTCCTACATGCAGATAGGACAAGATGTCTGCTATTACTTTGTTTAGCTTGAAAAGCCTCTGCACATCTCTTCAAGCAGAACTTCACCTTGAAAGTAAGTCATGTCAGGACAGCCAATCAAGGGGACCAAAGATGGCAAACTCAGAAGAGGACTGGGATAAAATGTTGGTGTCGGTGAGGGAGCTCATGCATGTTGCAATGCTTGAAGGTAGGTGAATATAGCTGAGCTTATTTCCACTATAAAGGATTTTACCTTTGCTACTGGGGTTTCACTTTCCTTACATCTGGGATAGGACCCAGCAGCTGGCATTTCCCTGCCCATTAAAGTGATATTAAACCTTTTTTATTTTTTTCCATTTTAGATTGCATTTATGCTGAATTTTTTTATTTTTTTATTCTTTAGTTCCTTGTTCTTTAGTGGGTCTCTGCATTGCTCTCCCTCCGGCCCCCTGCATGGGTGCCTCCATCAGCTAAGCAGCTGCTGTGGAGGCACTCATACGTGTGTGTGCCCGACTGTGGCCGCACACAGCTACTGCGGGCAAAGACACACGCAGCCCTGCTGCAGGCCACGCCCCTCCTCTCCATCCAACAGTAAGGTGTCTACATTTGTATTGGTCTGACCCACTGAGAGAAGGGAAAAGGTCTAACTAGTCTAACTAGTTTCACTTTTTTACTACAGCTACATTACACTAGCCATAATTTGCCAATGAGAGTGCTGTAACTGTTGTTAAAGTATTACTAAAGGCTGGGCATTTTTTACCTTAATGCATTCTCTGCAGTAATGTAAAAAACTCCCAGTACCTTTTGCTTGTCACCGCCGCTGGTCCCCGAAAGCGATCCTCCGTTCCGAACTTCCTGGTTGTGGGGGAGGATAGTGAGGGCAGAGGAGCTAAAGTGAACAAGTGAATTTTTACAAAATGTATTAATCAATGAACTCTTTGGAATTTGGCCATAACCTTGTTATGGAGATGGTAGTTTGGTTGTTCAAGGCTATCATCCCTGGATTACAGATATATGGACTGTTATACAAATTGTTGGAATAGAGATCTGAAAAATATATCATTTAACTTCATAGGAATGATTAGGACAGTTATTTGGCTTCATTGCGTTCCGGCTGCCCCCCTCGCCCCCTCGATGTTCCTGTCTCCTGGTTGGTTGGGGAGACCCCCTGCAGATTGATATCCAATCACCGGCAAAAGAGTCATTGAGATGGTATTTATTGTACTTTGAATATGTACGGTTAATTGATATCAATGATCTTGATATATTGATTATCATGTAGACATTTACTTTCATACTCATACAAACACTATAGGTTAACCTCTCCAAATCTTCCTGATGAAGCTTCGGCGAAACGCGTTGAAGACTGAAGCAAGCACAGAATCATGGCTAGAACAATTATGTACAATTATTTAATAAGACATGAATACAATGAGAGCAATGACCAATATATGAATTGATAATCATGGTTTCTGTGTGGGCTCCAGGGAGGTTATTTATGTTGCATACATCTATTTATGATTTCTATCTGGATGAATTTTAATATATATCTATATGTATTGACATTATGAATTGAGTGTATTAAAAATGAAATTTTATTATATTTATGAATCAACTGACCTTATTTCTGGATCAATTCGCCGATATTTTTCAGAGGTCACCTATAAAGCCCCTTTCTTTCTCTCTCTTTTTTTTATATAAATTCTATAATAGATTTATGATTGGTGGCTGTAGGTCCTTCCTGACAGACGCAAAAGATTAATGGAACGCATGATTCCAATTTTGATCACCTGGGATGTATCCAGTGGAGAAGGGGCATACAGTCTCTCAAATGAGTTTTATGGTTATAGAGTAGACCTTATTCCCAAATGGAGAAGAAGAAGTAATAGTGAATTGTTAAAAAAGAGAGAGGTAAAATGTACCTGTGACCTGAATACATTATACCAACAGCTTTAAATGTAGATTTCAATTTACATGTATTTTATTATATACAGTTTATAGGTGTGATCAACATTGTGCATTTTGTTTCACAGGTAAACAATATGACTTGGACCCTGTTTGAGAGTAAACCTCCTATTGTTGTTCCTTAGAAATTACAAAAGATATGATGCATGCTAAGAGTTAATGTTTGAAATAAATAGGAACCTAACTGTCCCATGCCTTGGTATGAGCCCGAAGAGATGAGGGAGGCCTCCCCTTGCAGCTGTTGTCTGAGCACCCCTGAGGCTAGGTTCACCCCATTTTCTGCACCAGATCTGGAACACAGTGCATTGCATTTTTGCCGCGTTTATACAGCGATTTTGCTGCGTTTGAATTTTTTTTTTTTTAGCTTAAAATGGTCTTACAGGTGTGTTCCAGTGCGTTCCATGCGTTTTTGATGCTTTCCAGTGCATTCCAGACCAGACAAATTAGGACAAGCAGTATTTTTCTGGGATGGACTATGCTGGTGGGAACAGAGGCCAGAAATAGCATATGAATACATTGGGATGCATTTTGGGTCCAGAAAAAGTCTGGTCTGGTCTGAAGGTAATCTGGATGTAGTGTGAATGGGCCTTGAAGGTGGAACAGAAGGTGTAGGGACAGAGTTCCTGTAGCTGATGTGGATGCTGATGACACCAGGGCTGATGACATTGAAGACTGGATACTGGAGGTTACCAGAGAATCTGACCATCAGGAGAGGATGCCGACAGTGAATAGGACAGGATGTTGCCCTTGTCAGAAGCGGAGTCCAGAGACAGGCATGCCCGGATTTCCCACAAGGCCACCGAGGCCCGGCCTCGGGGCGGCAGAGCGCAGAGGGGCGGCAGCTCAGGGGGGGCGTACTGTGGAACCTGGCCTTGGGGCGGCAGGGTGAGTAAATCCAGCCCTGGGGACAGGTTGGGTCAGTAACTTGCGGACCGGATGGTTTAGAAAGCAAAAGAATGGTCAGAAGACAAGCCGGGGTCACAGAGGCAGGCAGCAAACAGCAGAGTCAGAAGTCAAACACAGATTTCAGGAACAGTATCAGATAAAATGCAGAGTACTAGCTGAAGATCTCTCAGCAATGTGTAGTTGCAGTGTGCATCCTTAAATAGCCAATTGGCGTCATGGCCTAGAATGGATGTGTACATGCTGTGTGCGCGCAAGTATGCGCCTACGTCTGGGTACAGACGCACGGCTATGCGCAAGCTCGCCGACCGGCCAGTGCACACGTGCACAGAACCTGTACTATGTGTACCAGCTGGATCTTCCTGACACTTACCCACCAATTTAGTGTCTCCCAAAACAGTTATTTTCAAGGCATGCCAACTCTCATGGCTGCCACTGTGCTTAGTTCAGCTCTCAACTAAACTTTCAAACCCACAAATGGCTGGTGTCGTGTCTGCTCATATGTGCATCACTATGGCAACTGCAATTATAATAGAGGCAAAGATGGCACCTCCCTTGGCTGTAAGAGAAAGGAGGTTGTAGTTCCGCTTTAAGATGTAATTTAACTGTGTTTTTTATGTCAATCTGTATGAAATAATACTATATGGATACGTACTTAATGGCTTGAGGAAGTGTTCAGTGAGGTGATCTGAAACTGTTGCCTTTTGTAATACTGTAATAATATTTCTATTTTGATATAAAGAAGATTGAGTGCTAAAAAAAAGTGGTGGAGTAATTATATTTGAGAAATTTGGGACCTATCATGACATACAGACATGTCCACAGGAGTGTCCATGGGGTCACATGTTGAGCCCACTACTTCCCTCATATCATCTAATAGAGACACTTGTTATTGTGACAAATAAGAAGGTGTTTACCATCACTTTGGGAAGATTTTTCTCTCACTTCCTGTTGTACTTCCAGAACTGGAATTGAAGGAAAATGTCCCCAATAATTTAAACCTTTTCATACTCTATTCACGCCAAACAAGTTTTGGATAGATTATTATGCTTACCTCCGCATTGGGTGGTGCCATGGATCTTAACTCTGTTTAAGTGCTATTCTTCACATCCAACAAACTATAGATACATGTGCAGACCCCTCGGTCAGTACAAGGCACGGTAGTGAGATGCCGGGACTTGGAACCACAGGGCACAGAGTGGAATCAGCCATCCAACACACCCGGAAACGTGTCTGATGCCAAAGAATTCTTCAGCAGTATCTCTTCAAGGCAGTATTTCTATGACGGGCATGAGAACAGCTATTAACCACTAGCTGTCCGCCCGTTGTGAAAAAACGGACGGACGGCAGACTCACATGGGTGGGTTTGCCGTAATTAGACAGCTTTTTTTTCTGATCGTGCGCGCACGGGTAGAAACAAACCGTCCGTTCTTCACAGCCGCTACCGGCTGTTTGACATACAAACGATCGGCGGCTCTATAGCCACCAATCGCTTGTATGTTGTGGCTGCTCGCCCCCCCTCCCCTTTCTGCAGTGCCGCCGCCCCCCCTCCTGACTCCTCACCTTCAATCCCGGGCTCCGCTACCCCATCTGTGGCCCGGGACCGGCTCGGGAGGGTGTCAGGAGGTAAGATGGGAGGGAGATCAGCATCTTCCTCTTTGTTGATCCCCTCCGTACTGTGAATATAGCCGCCAATCGCTTGTATGTTGTGGCTACTCGACCCCCCTCCCCTTTCTGCAGTGCCGCCGCCCCCCCTCCTGACTCCTCACCTTCAATCCCGGGATCCGCTACCCAATCTGTGGCCCGGGACCGGCTCGGGAGGGTGTCAGGAGGTAAGATGGGAGGGAGATCAGCATCTTCCTCCTTGCTGATCCCCTCCGTACTGTGAATGCTGAGGTGATAATACATAATCACTTCTGCATTCACCTGCCAGTCATCTGGCTGCTATAGGCAGAGAGAAGAAGCTGATAAAGCAGATCTCTGCTTCATCAGCTTCTTTGGTGGTTCCCAGTTGACATTAGGGGTCTTAGAGACCCTTAATGTCTCCATAAAGAGGACTTGTCAGTGTACCTTTGCTATTATATAGGGGGATTGTTATCCCCCTATGTGATAGCAATAACAATAAGTATAAAAAAAAATAAAAGTCACATATAAAAAAAGTTTAAAAAACAAACAAACAAAGTTTTTGAAGTCCCCCACCCCCACGTTTATGCACTGTACAGGATACCAGAAGATGGGTCCTGGGAGAGGTGTATATTTCCCTTTGTTCGGGTTGTGGTCCCTTTAAGGGACAGAAATTGGTTAACACCTGCTGCAGGAAGTGTGTTCAAAAGGATAGGAAGCTAGAGACAGAGAGAGGGAGAGAGAAGCCCTGATTAATGTTTGCAGACAAGGCTGTGGAGCAGATGGAAGTACTGGTGCTGTGAAGCAGACAAACTTTACTGGGAGCCTGTGGGCTGAGAGAGAAACTCTAAAGTTAAGAGTGTGATAACCTTGTGGACTGAAACCCTCCAAGCTGGTGAGGCAGCTATTCTTTTCTGTGCTGAAGGAAGCAAACGGTACAGTTTATTATTTATATGCTGAAGGAAACAATCTTTTAAGTTGTTTTGCTGTACTGAAGGAAATGACTTTTTATTGTTGCTGCTGTGGAAAATAAAGGCAGTTTGTCTGATAAAGCCTGTGTCCTGCGGTCCAGCTAATTCCCCAAACATCACAGCACATACGCGTTCGATGCGCCAGCGCGCAAAAAACATGTTACATACAGGGAGGCCGGGCCTCAGTGGCCTTGTGGGAAATCCGGGCCTGGTTACATATTGCTGCGAACGTCGGAGTGAGCACAATCATTTTAGGGCCATCAATCACTGGTAACACTAAACTGATGAGCGGTGAAAGCTTTTAAAGGAGAACTATGACGTGAGTGCTTTTCACTCACCTCATAGTTCTAGCCGACCTGTGACAATGAGACTGTCACAGGTCGGCTCAGTAGATCGGGAGGTGAGCGAACACATACCGGCGTTCGCTCACCTCTCGATCCTGTCACGGCTCTCTGCCGTGACAGGGGAGGGGCTGGATTCCCC